GGAGGAGGAATTAGCGAGAAAATATGGCGGCAATTTATTCAACCGAGTTACAGGCAACAGAAAATTTTAAAAAATACCAACAAAGAAATTAAAACAATAAAAAAAAATCATGAAACATGCTAATCAACTTGATAAACGTTTGAAAGGATGAATGAACCTTTGGAAGTTCCGCGAGTTCGATTTATTGCCATAATTAACCGCTGTATTTAATTAATAAAACTCTTGGTATTATGGGTGGGTGAAGATAGAAGGTTGGGCATTAACAGAACCTCTTTTATTGTTTGTTTATTTTATTTTGGAATATGCTGGAAGGTTAAGGGGACAGACACAGAGTTGTAAATAAGAAGAATCTATCTTCAAATGCTTAAAACGAAGATCATATCCAGGGTCAGTTTGTTATCTCTTTTCTCCTTATCCTCCTGGTTTTCATTGTCTTCAATCGCCTTTTACATTGATAGAAGTGCGCGCGGTGTAATGCTGTTATATTGAAACACACCTATTCTATTGTTAAAAGACTCTCCCACATATAATAAGTAGTAGTTGTAGCAGTCGCCAGTGAGCTCAGTGAGTTGGTGAGTCAGTCGATGTCGGACATTAAAGTATCAACCGCCACAACTAGATTGCTGCGTCATTAACTAGTATTTCAAGTTCCTAACGTTTTGTACGTCGAACCTATTTTAGGACCGACTTAGTGAAATACAAGCTTCCACTGTGAAACTACTCTACAACAAATGCACAATGACTCGAAATAATAGAGCCGTGTTCGAATTCCAGTCGGGTTTGTTATATTCACTTCGGCGCAAATACCATTTGGAAATGTACAAATACATTTTCTCCCCTCCCCGTTATGAGTTAAATACTAGGAATTTTATTGGGATAATTCATACTTATTCTCAAACAATGATTGATGCAAGAGGAGGTGTAGTAAGAAAACATAGTACGAGGATGTGTACGATTAATATCGGTGGACCCTGGACTTATAGTAGGACATGTAGAGTTATACTAAAATAATTGTTAATGCATGATTCAGCTGTTAAATAAATCCAATTCTAAGTGATCAGCAATATTATTGGCCCTAATCTGACATCTCGGCATCGCTGACATTTCCCCCGCCATAATGTAGGCTCCCTGTGGCTTTTCTATGAACACTTTTATGATAACTGCTCTGATGAACTTTCCGTTTTTTCTTTAAGTTTAATTCCCCATCCCCTCCCTCGTTAGGTGGTCAGTGATGTCAGTTCGCTGATGGATGCGGGGCGCCTTTCGTTTTCGCGTGAGTGCTTTTTTCGTATTTGTTGTTGTGTCTGAATGAGTGCATGTCAGTATGAGTGATTGGGATGAATGAATGTTTTATACCATTATAGTCCCGCATTGATTTCGGCCAGTGAAGTGATGTTTCTGTCGCATTTAGTAATTGTGGGGGATTTTTATTACTAATTTTATTTTCTTTAGTTTCTTGTAAATAGTTTTTTGTATGCATATTGTAAATACTCATTGGGGTTAACTGTTAGAATTGTTGTTTTATTCCCCTCCCCCCACAGACAACGAATTGTAAATATGGGGACTAGTTAGTATTTTCATAGAGACAAAAAGGTATTATGGTGGTTGTAGTAAGAAAGGTACGAATGAATGTGTTGTTTTGGTGTAAGGAATATTGTTCGTACGACTGGGCCAGTGTTTGCGGCTAGCTAAGTTATAGTTAAGACAGAAGAAGACCATCCTTTCCCCAATCCCCTTTTCGGCCTTGTGCCACATTTCTGTAGAGAACAGAATAAATATCACTTTCCGTTAGTGGAAATATTCATTGGAGTTTTTGTTCCAATATTACAGACACCAGATTCATCTGACAACAATTTTAAACATAAGGGTCGCATCATTCAGTGGATTGTTAGTGGGTTAATGCGTATATTAAGTCTGTTAGCGAAGAGATTTCGCCATTAATTTCATTAATATTGCTAATTGATTCAATGTATGGTTATCTCTTTATAATATAAAATATATGCTGCCTAATATAATATGTTTATATATATATATATATATATATATATATATATATATATATATATATATATATATATATATGCCTGAATCTACAGCTGTCTCTGATCTATAAATTTATAAGATATATTAATTTTGTAAGAAAAGAATCACTTTGAGATCAGTCGATTGATTAAAAATGTTTCTCTTTTATGAAATCCTTTCTTATCGATCCTAACCTACATTTTCATATAAATTTTCTATAACTGGTCATTTTATGCTACAAAATTTTACTGGTGTTTCTTTAAGAAATAGTACTTTTTGAATTTTAACATTCTAATTTACTTTTTCTATTAATTTCGCTTATTTCAGTGAATCAGATATTTTAATTTAATTAAATCAAAATAAGCACTTTGCATAGATTATTTGTTAGAATAAATCTCAAGCATATATTGTGTTGTTTAATGTTTTTTATTTGTATATTTTTAATGTCGTTTGTGGAAAAAAAATGTACAAAATTTTT